AAGGTTTCCATTGCATGCATTGGAGAAGCCATCCTATGCCCAACCCTATGCCAACAAAATATTTCAGGCTTGGTTCCAAACACCTTGATTCAATACTTGGACTGGCAAGATCCAAGTCTAAGTGAGCAGAGCTCAGGGTGGGACGTGGAATCACAGAATCAGGGAATGGTTTGGGTGGGAAGGGACTTTAAAATCATCCCATTCCACCCCCCTGGCATGAGCAGGGACACCTTCCCCTATCCCAGGGGGCTCCAAGCCCCATCCAGCCTGGCCTGGGACACTCCCAGAGGTCCTGGGGCAGCCACAGCTGCTCTGGGCAGCAATGGATACAGGATGCTCATAGGATCTGCTGGTAGAATTATTACAGTGGAAATAAGAGTAAAACAAGGGAAAACAGCCTGCAGAGAAGGGAATCCAATGAAAAGACAGATTTATTTAAGTCAGGCTTAACTCTGGACAACACTGGGATTTATGTTCAGTTTGTTTGTGTGTGCACAAGTGCTCAGGAGATCAGGAACTGCCCCATCCCCGTGGAACAGATCAGGAACTGCCCCATCCCCGTGGAACACATCAGGAACTGCCCCATTCCCGTGGAACACATCAGGAACTGCCCCATCCCTGTGGAACAGATCAGGAACTGCCCCATCCCCATGGAACACATCAGGAACTGCCCCATCCCCATGGAACAGATCAGGAACTGCCCCATCCCCATGGAACAGATCAGGAACTGCCCCATCCCCGTGGAACACATCAGGAACTGCCCCATCCCCGTGGAACACATCAGGAACTGCCCCATCCCCATGGAACACATCAGGAACTTCCCCATCCTCCTGAATTTTCTGGATAAGACTGACAGCTGGTGTTTCTTCTGGAACTCCTGATTTTGGGGCAGTGGCTCAGTGTCCTGTGTGGGTCCCTTTGTCCAGCCTGAGGCTGTCACCTCCTCCCTCAATCCCGGGGGCAGCTGCAAAGACCACGGATGTGAGGCCCAGACGTGGATTCTGTCTGCAGTGGGAAGTAAATTGGAGGTGAAATCGATTGTGGGAATTGCACCTCCAATCCCAGCTGCCCAAAGGCTCCTGCTCCACACTTTGTGCCTAACGGAGGCACCAACCCCAGTGGAGATCCCAGTGGGATCTGCAACACTCAGAAATCCTGGGCTAATTAAGGAGCTTGAGGACCTTCACCTAAAACTGCAAAACTGCAGCTGGCAGATTTCCTGAGCTGCTCAGATGTCACAGGGACCAGCTCAGTGACAGCAGAGCTCAAAAACCCTCCTCAGAGCCGAGCTTGCCAATGCCCAGACACCTAAATGTTTTAATAAACGAGGTTTTGATTTTTTTTTTTTTTTTTTGTGTGTGTAATCAATATGAGAATTACCTGAGGAAACACGGATTGCAGAACAAAAGGCCCGTTCCAAAAAGCAGCCAGGCTTTTTGTGCT